CAGGAAAGCTGTTTCATCCCCAAGGCTGGTAGGGTCCCTGTCCCCCTTCGAAGAGGCCTGTGTCCCCCTCGTCACATTCTCCGGGCGGTGGGGGGTGGAACGGGGTGAGAAATCGTGGCTCTCCTTCATGCTCTCTGTGTTTATTTTTGATTTGGGATCTGAACGATCGCGGGTTGAACTGATGTCAGTGGTTTTCCTGTGTCGTTTTCATGCAGAGGAAACTGGGGAGGACGAAGAGGTAGAGTTTCCCGAGTAGGTTTTTATTTATTTTCCCCAAGGTTGGCAAAACAGTAGCTTCAGGGGAGAAGCCGACTTCTGGAGCATCAGGCGACACTGCCACCCCAGGATTGGGATCCAGGGCCGGGGTGTGGGCGACAGGAGCTGCTGCTTCCAATTTTGTTAGAAAAAGTGTGGGGGCTCGGGGTGGGTTGGGGAAGAATTGTACATAACGTCCTTTTAGGGTCATGCAGGGAAGCGTAAGAGAAGATGCTCGCGGTTAACCTTGGGCTTGCTTTGCTTGCATGAACGGAGCTTCGGCCGTCGCAGGGGCTGCTGGGAGCAGAGGGAAGGAGCGGCTCCCTCGGGGAAGGGTGCAGGGTCTCCCCAGCTTCTCAGCCCAGCTCTGTCTTCCTGTCTTGTCCAACCCCTGCTCCCCCGCCCCCCGGGGCTGCACTTCTGCTTTGGGGAGAGGGCCCAGGAGGGGTGCTACCGTCCAGGTGGAGAATGAACAAGGTGATCAATGGGGTGGGTCTTCAGGAAGTGGGGTTAGCAAGCTGGGGCAGAGGGAGGAGGTCGCGTTCTCGTGCCAGGTGTCGGTTGTCGGTGAGGGTGGAAGGGGAATGGAGAGGGGGGTGGGTCACGGAGTAGAAAGTGGGGATCCTGGGATAAGACAGTAGGACCAAAGCTGAGGGACATCAAGGCTTACCCTGCTCTTTGGGGCCCATGATAACGTAGCTGCCCCCAAGGGGACTGCGTGCAGGTTGGAGGTCATCTCCGGAAAAGGAGGAGGAGTGAGGCCCTGGGGTGGGCGTGGCAGTGAGGCTCACTTGGGGGGCACATGTGGGAGAGTGGTGCTGTTATTGCAGAGAGACTGTGGGGGTGGGGTCTTGCCACCGAGGCCCAGACGGGGTCTTGGAAGAGATCTTGCTTCTGAGCTGGGCTTCCTTGCTTCTAGAATTCGCCTCTAACACTAAGTACCCAAAGCAAACAAGGACATAGTGTTCTGATGTCTTTGAACATCATCTGTTTGTTACCAGGGCGGCGGGGGGAGGGTCTCCTCAGGCCCCCAGAGAGGAGCCTTGTTTGAGATTCCCGGGCGGCACAGCTCTGGCAGTGGAAGCGGGAGAATCACTCTCGTGAGCTCCGTGGGCTCATTCTCATCAGCAGAAGTGGCAGGTGGCCTCCCCTCCTCTTCCAGGACCTAAAACTGTTCCTGAGGCACCGTCGCTGGGGATGGAGACGAGGGGTTGGGACTTGGCCTTTGCATCGACTACCCTTCCTTTCTGAAGGGAGGAGACCGCCTTCAGACCCGGAAGCTACACTGGGGGTTGGGGGTGGGGCTTGCTACCT